ATGAAAGGCAGTACAGTAGGCTGTCTGTGAGTATCCACAGGGTTAACCTTCAGCATATGATCCCTCTGCCTGACCACTACCCCTACAAGTCTCTGCAATTATTTAACCTACACGATGTCTAGCACCAGGAAAAGTAGTTCTTCATGTGGCATGTATTGCCCAAGAAGAATTTTTGTCAGCTTATTTGAAATAGTCATATGATACTTTTGAAGGTTCTGCCTTTCACTTATCTTTTTCTTTTAAGTCTTTTTATTGGCTTGGGGTGAACAATGACTTCAACTGCACTATTAAAATATGCTCACTAAAAAATAGGAAAGTAGGAATCAAGGACATCACCACCCTGAAGAACTGTATTCAAACTGTATTATAGAGGAAAACTAGTGGAAAAGTTAATTCTGATTAATTTACTCTTATGACATATTATTCTTATTATGAATGAATTTGAATGTCAAAAAGGCAGATACTTTGTGACATCTGGTTGAAAAAGGGCCATTCACCCTAAAAATTATACTAATGGCCTGCCTCACAGAGGGGAGCAGAAGTCCAGAGAAACATGTTAGACAAAACCAGGCGGGTGAACTGAAGGGTGAATCTTTTTAAAAGTGAAGAATTTCACACACTATTTATGAGAAATTGTAATCAGGAAATATTTTTTTTAAAAGAAGATCCCTCCCCCTCCACCAGTCTTCCTGTTCTGTTGTAATGATCAGGAGGCAGTCATGACTGAGTTCACAGTGTGCTTTGAATGTTAATTTTCTTCTGCTTGTTTATATTATGGTGGGTAATTTTCCAATTTTTATCTTAAAATACCATATAAATAAAAGCACTACATGAACATCAATACTTTTTTTTTTTTTTCTGGCTGAACCATTGTTGTGCTGAAAACTGTGTATGAGGAAGTGAAAAAAGAAAGGAAAGAGGTATAAAGAGTTAGTTTTCCCTAATTGTCAAAGATAGTTTCACAGTTTTGTTAGGTGATAATTCATCTTGTGATTCTGAGGTCCACCATGTTTGGTAACCTGGGGCAGCTTCAGATCCTATGTCATCCAGTCTTGGCCTTTTGCAGTTAATCTACACCACTGCAGCTGTTACATCCTCTGAGTGGTGTACATGATTTGCACTGTTCCTATATTGACCTTAGACCTGGCAAACACACTGTCTAGATAGTTGTATTTGTCATTAGAAATTAAATTGCGGTTTTAAAGTGAGAAATATTTCCCTAGATTTTAGCAGAAAGTCCTTAAACCACCAGTTTCCAAGGTCTGAAAGAGTATACCAAAGGAAAGGATTGTCCTCAACATGTCCAGCTTTTTCCATTCTTTCCATAAGCATATGTTGCTGAACTCTTCTGGAAGGAGAGTACTGATGTACACAGATATTTGGTGTGACCAGAACAGAGCTGTTACATGTCAAATGCTGGCCTTTCTTTTCAGCCTGTACTGATAATGCCTTCTTGCATCCTCTGCTTCAAACCATAGTACATTTTCTGGGATTGGATTTTATTATGCTCTTGTGATTCTCCTTGATCTCAGCGAGATGAAAGACAATATGTGATGGCATTATTCGCAGTTTGGGCAGTACTTGTAGAAGTGCTTCAAAGCTGAATGTAGGTTTGACGCTGTGTCCTGTGAACTACTTTTTGTTCATGGTTTAAATATGACTCAGAACAACCCAAATTACATGTATAGTCATTATAAAAGATTATTTAGCTCCAGAACGTAATCTAGAACCTAGAAAAAATGCCTAGGATTAGATTGGAGAAATAATGTTTGCACTAAAACTCTACTTTTCAGCAGTTCATTCAGGCCCAGTTAAAGTCAGCAGAATCGTTTGCACTGACTTTGGTGGTTGTATGATTGAATTCTGTTTCTGAGACCACAGAATTTTAATGTTGGATAGTAAATAGTCAGTACATTTTGCAAAGGAAGCAATAAATATTTGAAAAATGAAGGAATAAAAAAAGTGAATAAAGCTATATATAATATGCCATGAAAAAAAAAATCCCTAAGCCTCCAGAGTTTATTAATGAGCTTCAAAATCAAAGGGAAAAAACCCAAACCTTTAGGATTAGTCTCTCAAAGGATAAATAAAATGCATTGTGGGTCAGGATATAAAGTTCTTGATCCTAATGGATATACGCAAATAGCTAACAAGAAAGTTTTATTATTAAAATTCTGAAAGAAGACCCCAAATCCAAATATATTTACAGGTCCTTCTTAAAGAATGGAATGAAGGGTAATTGTATTGTGTTTAAAAATGTTAGAATTTGTCTCAAACAGGAAATTAAAGTGAATTTCTATGAAGTGTAACAAAAATATAGGTCTACATATGTTTTGTGTGCTTGTAAAAACTGAAACTTAAAGTAGTCAATACAGTTGTTGATTTGAAGCAAGCACCAAAAGTAAAGTAAGGATGATTCAGAACCATAAAAGATATCTTCAGATAAATTAATGTGTGCTAAATGACCTGTATATGGTTTACACATGTGTAAAACTGCATTATATAGCTCAGTATTTATGAAATCAATTCCTTAATTTGACTTCAGAAGTAAAGATGAATGCCTGTAACTGTTTACATAGACTGTACAATCAAATGCTATCATTTTATTTGCTTTGCAATTCATCGCAGATTGTTGGTTTTTTTCTCTTAGTAGACAATGGCAGTAGAAACTGATCTAATTTTTAGCCTTAGGTATTGCTTAATCTGCCATAAACTGTTCATTAGTTATAATTTAGGACTGTTTATGGGGAAGATACAGGAAGAAGTTTCTTGAGTTTAGTGCTGTGAAAATCTCTAGGGATAAGCATAGTGGAAGAGCATACAGATGTGCAAGAAGTGAACATCTACCTCTCTCCCATCTATATTGATTCTTTTGCAAATTGAAGAGGAAATACATACTTCAGAAATTTGCTATTTTCATATACCTTTATATGCCAGCAAACTTGAAGGCACATCTTTTGCAAATACAGAGTTCACCTGAGACTAGATTGTATGCCCAGATTTAGAAAATCAGTGAAAAACTCTCATCTGAAAAGCTAAAAATTTGATTTGCATAGTGCAATTGAAAAGCAAATTTAAAGTGGACCAGGAGGAATAACCTATTTTCACTGAAAGTTTTTGGTTGTATTTTCTCCACTTTTCACAGCTATTCATTTTGACCAATCTGCCCATAGACCCCAGGCCATCATAAAACTTGAATATGCTGTGGCTTTGTCTCTGCTTAGATGCGAACTTGCCAGTCTTCTGTACCAATTTTACATATTTAAATTATCACCTTTGGGATCTAATTTACTACAGTCTGCTTCTGGAATAGATTTTTTTTTAAAATGAAAATTGTTTGAATCAACCACTTAATGGTTATCAGCATAACAGTAATCCCTGGGTTGTAGGTAATTTTAAAAGTTAAAGAACACAGTACATTTTATTTGTTGCATGCCTCTACAGTTCATTTACACAGATTTATTAACATATACAACCACCAAAGAGAGGAGGTGTGGTGAAAAGGATAATGGTGTATGTTTATCATGAATTGGAATGGTAAGGGGGGGAAGAGTGGTAAAGAGACATTATCTGTTAATAATGAGGGCATAGAATTTATCCAGATTTATTAAATAAAGAAATGAAATCCAAAACATACCACAATCATGTAATAGGCAAGTCCAGAAGAAGGGAATTAAAGATGTAAGAATGCCTCCCTTTTAAGACATGAAAATTAAATCAAATTTATTGAAAATTTATTTTTACAAACTTGGTCATAATGGAAACAGAAAAATACTGCTTCACAGTTACCTTATAAAAAGAAGGAGTAACCTTAGAGTCACCAAATTATGTTACCAGTACCTGAAGTAACCTTTCAAAATAGCTGGAATATGATCCTTTTGTCTCAGAATTTCAAAGGGCTTGGAAGACCTTCTTGTTCACCAGTCGAAGGCTGTACAAAGTCCTGTTTACACAAAGTGCACAGTAAGGTATCCAGAGTTAGGATAATTTCTCAGGGTCAGAAATCAGTACAATCTTAAATATTTTATGAATGTGAGAAAGGTAGTCCAGTTTTATAAATAAAACATTTTCAAAAGAATGAACCCCAGGCTCTTTGTTGCTGAAGTAAGAAGAACCTGAATGACTGAGCCTTGTAAGTCAAGCCAAATTCTTCAGCAGTACTTATTTACTGGGGGGGGGTGGTGATTTACTTCTCTCACTTACCACAATGTATGAAAAAGATGTGGTAAAAAATACTCAAGTATTAATATTGCTAATTAATATTAATAATATTACTTATTATATAAGTAAGAGAAATCATCTACAGGTTGAGTTTGTAACAAAGTCTATATTTCATTTTATGAACAAAAACTGAATTCTGCTTTGAAGTGCCACAGACATCAGTTAGGAACTAATTCTTTCACCCCTCTTCATTCCAATGATTATTTTAGTTTCCAAATTATATAAAAAAATAAATCTGCTTAATTAAAGGAATAAGTACAAATAACATTCACTTTTTTTAACCCCAGCTTTCAATGAAAACTATTCACCAATTCAGTTTAACTCAACAAAAGCAAGTTTGACAGAATCAGGCACCTACATCTGGATTTAAAATACTCCATTAGTCAAAACAGCTCACAAAGCTGTTCCTTATGCCGTTAAGTACCTTAGGTCTGTATTTTTTCAAAGCTTGATGGTCTTCTATAATAACTTGGGTTTACTAACAATGTTGGAATAAAATTGCAGGAATTTGAGTAGGAAGGGATGCATCTTATTTACAAAACAAAACCAAACCCCCCAAAAAATCCCACAAACACTGTTGATCTGATTTGTTTAAAATGAAACAGTACAACACAGCATCTCCAAAGGTGTTTTGAGTGTTATTGCTCTGCAGGTGGCAGTTTTGATATATGACTTGAAAATACACAGTATGGAAGACAGTTTTAAAAGAGACTTTGCAAAAGTTATCAAAACTAAACTGATTTTATCAGTGCACAATTTGACTTTGCTCATTCATGCAGGCAGCGTTAGAGAAGGAATGGCTAACTCTAGATTCCACCCGTTTCCCTTCAAAAACACTCCTGCTCTCAAACCAGCTGCACTGGCCAAAGGTAACATGTCACAGAAACATGTTACTCTTCAGTCTTTATTCATTCCTTAAGGATATGCTGTTCCGGGGTGATTAATATGACGATCTAGTGACTTGAAAAACACAATTACTTTTAGAAGTCTCAGACTTCCTCCTCATCTCCAGATGCAATTTTTCTTTTAGATTTTCTTTCATTTGCTTAGTGTTTTCTTTATTTTGGATTTATTTCAACACTACTTCACAGTAGCAGAAAAAAAGATGATGAGCTTCATCTGTACATTTGGCAATGGATTAAAAATTGCTGGTTGACAAACTACTTTAAAAATACTAAGATCTGCGTTATATGACAACAGCTGAATGTTTTCAGAGCAACTAAAGGTCATCGAACTGTAATGTCTGCTAGTTATTTGATAAACTTTGAAGTTTTAGCTTTTTGTTTTGGTAGGGTTTTCTGTTCATGTTACAAGCACAGTATTGCTAATGTTTTCTTTTCTCCAATTAAGAGAAAGGAGTCTTATAAATGTATAATGCATTATATTTGGGGACATTAAGTGTAATCAAAGTCACTGTTTTGCCTTTTATAGTTAGTTGAAGGTAAGGTCTGTAATGGGCATATCACCATTAAGAATTCTTTCCGTTATAGTGAGAGACTGCAAATCCTGGTGCAACTTTTCCTGCATATTTTAAACTCAAACTTGAAGGGACCATCAGCTGTATTCATTGTCTTTCTCTTAAAAGTTTCCTAGGGCTTCAGATTCCAGTGAACATTTAAATAGTTTGCCATTGTCACCACAAGAAATTTGGCAGTGTGTTGACAGACCACATTCATACTCAGCAGAAAATATCGACTTTCATAGCAGGTAAGTTAAGTAACATATTTTTTTTTAATTGTATTTAGTTCATTTGCATTTGACAAAAATTAAAAGTGGCTATTTTCTCATGCTTTTGCTACTTTTGGTTAATATTATATTACTGGAGTTAAAATGTATTTGCTTCCTAAAACCAGATAAATTAAAATCTGGTGTTATTTTTCCATTGACTGCCAGAATTAAGAATATAAAACTATATAGGTGTACTTTTATTTATCTGGGTTTGACTATAAATCATAGAACTTCTATGTTTTCACATATATAATGACATGGATGTTGAAATAGAGATTTTTAAGACTAGATAAAGATTAAAAGAGATCTCTTACACAGCCGCATTCTGTGAAAGGACTGAAATATGCTTCAAGTAATTGAAATGTAAACATTTCAAATTGATGGCAGACTTTTATTGCTTTCCAAGATAAAACCTTCATGGAGTATTAAAATAGAATTTTTATCATTTCCAAGCTTCAAAAGTGCCTTTAAAAGGCACAAACAAGTTGCAGAATAACAATGACTGCAAAATAGTCCTCTGCGACCCTTCCTTATTTAGTTACCTTTCAGTAGTGCTCTTTTACTTTGTTTTCAGGTCAGGGAAGGAAACAATGTCACAGCTTTCTGACTGGAAGGAAAAAGAGAAATTATTATTGATGCCTGAAAAAGAAAAGAGAATTTCAGAAGAATGGTATGTTAAGCTATTTTGATTACATAGTAACTTCCAGGAGTAGGTATAGTATAGTTGGCTATTGTTGCTTGTGTTTTGTAAGTTCCACCTTTCCAGAACCTCTGTTTTCTACCAAAGTAAAAATGATAGTATTTACTCTTACAAGTGTCTGGGAAACTATCTTAATAAGTTGCAATAATGTAATGTTAAGATAAGAATTGCAGCTATCTCTGTAATTCAGAAAGTTTTATACCATGCATAAACAGTCCTACATATTGGTATTCTTTTTGAAAAGTGTATTATACAATAATATGCAGCTGGTGTAACATAATACATGTGAAATGTTTAGTAAGTTGTTTTCTTCCCCTAGGGGTTTTAAGGATATTTCTACTGCACAGCTATTGCTGAAGAGGGCCCATAAAATGAAGCCTAAAAATAATAGTAATAAAAGTTTAGGTAAGTTGACAGTTCAAAAATATTGTTATATTGATGTAGTTTTCCCATTCTTAAATCTCAAAATAGTGTTTCTCTTTTAAAACGTTTGCTTGTGCAATATGAAACATTAATTTGAATAAAGGGGGAGTGTGAGTCAGTAAAAACAACTCAGTTTAAATCAATTTGTTCCAGTGATAAATTATTCGGATTCTAAAAAACATTCTACTGGATTTTGAAGCTGAATATTTGACAGCTATTCTAAACATGCATTTTGCTTCTTTTTGCTCAGGTATCTCTTTTTCTAGGTGTGGAATTTATATTTCTGCATCTTGTGCTTCATGTGTTTTCCTCTTACAGAAGTCTTAGGTTTAATTATTGACCTATGTTTATATTTCTGCATCTTGTACTTCATGTGTTTTCCTCTTACCGAAGTCTTAGGTTTAATTATTGACCTATGCAAAAACTATTTATGAAAACAACAGTTTGGTACATATGAAATTAAATCACATATTTTGTATTAAATATTCACTGTGACAATAAAGTTTATCCAGCTTCTCTGTAATTGTCTTCTGGTACTTCTCAGATACTTTCTATGTCAATGAACTTTCTTAGAATCATTAACTGTTAGCATGATATGCTAATAGAGCTGTTACTGGAATATGTTCATAAAAATGTCAGATTCTGCTAGTAAAAGAAACATTTAAATATGTAAGAGCCTGGTTGACGATAGGACCTAACACTAAATGGTCTTTGAAAAATGTACCCTTATTTACATTTTTTAAAAATTGTATCACAAGCTACAGTTAATTTTCCTCTTTTGCATAACTTTACAGAACTCTTCTGTATTAACTGTTGAAAATATACAAAGATATTTTTGTCTTGGAAGGAAAATTGCAGCTTACAGATTAAGTTAATACAAGTATTTACTGTATAAGTTTTCCTACTTTAAATACCATGGCTAAGACTAAGACTAAATATGACAAAAAGGATCTGTAGTTAAAAAAATAAATAAAAGGAGAGGGAGAGAAAAAGACATGTAGTCAGCAAACCATGCTTTGTGGAAATGAGAATAAATGGATAAGATAGCTTTCCATGGTGCCCTACCACATTACCTTATTAAAAAAAAAAAGAGTAATAAATACATGGTATGCAGCTGAGTTTTTTTATGTATATTCCTTTTTGTGGCCTCTGTAGAATTTTTAATGAATAGAGCTTATTGGTTATATCATCTTTTCTCCACATGCTGTTTTATGATAGCAGTAATTAATCCAGTCATAAATGTTCAGTTGGGCATCTCAAATTTCCTATCCAATTTTTTGTTGCAATTCTAATGGATTTTTTTATATGTTTATATTCACTTTGTTCAGATTATTCACTATGGTGTATGGGTGTTGAGCTTTTTAATGTATCACTTGGAATATTCTCAAAGTATATTGCTGGTTTTAAAAAAATTAAAATAACTTTTTCCCAATGCTACTATAGTGTTAAATTTTTTCTTTTCAACACTACCTCATATAGGATTTTTTTGTCTTTCTGACTATTACATTAAGCACAGAAATAACCTGTATATATAATTTGCCTGTATTGAATTCTCTGTCGGTCACTAAAATCACAGGGTTTGTTTCAGATAAGCAGAAAGCATAGTTTCCAGAAGTAAGAAATTTGACTGCAAGTATTGTACTCCATCCCTTTTCAGGACAAAGATTCTCAAGCCAGCTATTCTTTCTTATGCAGCACACTGACAGAGTCAGTCCTTCCTTGGTCATTAAACACCAAATCGACATTATCAATTAAAAGAAGTATTTTTCTATTAAAGTGATCTTCAAACTCAGATGTTGCACAAAAAAAAAAAAAAATCTCAATCAAATGTTCCCCATGTGAGAAGACTCTCCACATATATAATTATGTTTTGCATCAGCTACATCCTCTGAAGTGGTGAGAGTAAGTCAGGATCTTTTTGAGGGTCTGGTTGAAGAGAGGGACTTCACAGCATTTAAATTAGAGTAGATATGCCTTATCCTGCAGCTAGCCAGCTCCAGATCAGGAAACTGTAACCAGACCCATTAGGCTGCCAGTAACTTTCTTGGATCTCTGTGTGGTACAGCTAGATTACTTATAGCAATTCCAGTATAACTAGGGAGGGAGAGAGAGTTCACAGTCTTAGGCAATTGCTGTGAGTTTAACCCCACTGAAGCAAGAATTCCGTCAGAGAATTTATTCCTTCTGATATTTCAAAGCAGATTGAAATTCATCTGAATAAGTAGATGTCAACACTGTCTTTTAATGTTTCCATAGAAATTAGCATCCTCTTGCCTTCATGTCCACTGAAATGAGCTTCATCAATCTTGTATTTACTGAAGCTACATAGGAAAGATTGTAGGATTTAGGCTTAGCATTATTGTTTCTATTCTTTCTTTTGAATTTCCAGGTCTTCAGTGTTATAGTTAACAACTCTTTCCTTTTTAGCTTTCTGATTTAAAATAGTTGAAGGTATGCTATCTCCAATAAAATAATTTTGTTAGTCATAAAATGCATACCTACTAGAAAACAATTAGCCAGCACCCACTTAAAAGTGGGAATTATAAATAAGCAATTTTTCATGTTATATCCATTTGCTACTACACATCTGACTTAGAAGCAAAACTTTAAATTCTGAGAAAAAGCAAAGCAGCAACTCTAAAGGTTCTAGATACCAATAACATTTAAGCTATTAACAAATAAACATAGCTTTTATGCTGAGATTTCAGCATCATCCCAAACATCTTTTATGTGCTATTGATCATTCTGTGGTAAGGATCTAATTGCTTGCAGGTAATGATAAGGTACTGACTGTTTTTCTAGGAACAAATGACCTATCAGAGTATGTTGTCTGCTTCCATATGCTATCAAACTCCTTTGCCTTAGACCAGAGATTCACAAATGCAAAATGTTAAATCAGCTTGAATTCAGTGAGTTTTAGAGTTGCTTTTCAATATTGTCAAGACATCTGCTGGGTTGGAACTTAGATTGGACAGCCATGAACGGCTTTGATTCATAACATAATCAAGTATGGAAATTTATTTCTTTTCATTTTCCGTCTAAAACATTTGTCTTCTCCTAGTACAAGAGTGATGGGATTCATTTGATAATTATAGAAGTCCACATCTGAGCTAGTCATCTGCATTGTTTTATGGAGAGAAATTCCCTCTTAAAATATGATTCAAAAACAGGCTTCTTGAGTCTCACTGTAAAAGCACTTATAGTTCTCCATTGCACAGACACAAAACTAGAGTGACTTACAGACATATAGGGTTAAACTGTAGATATGTAGAAGTAACAGAAGTATCTTACCTCATATATCTGGCCACATACCTTCTCAGTAGAGAAAAAGAAAAAAGGGAAATACTAGCAAGTGCACTGAATCCTGTGGTTTGTATTACAAGGAAGAGCTTAAAGTAGCATAATCTTATAATAGGGAGTGATTCAGGCAAGTCTTATATTGCAGTAGACCAGTCCCACCAACTAATGGCCTTAAGGCCTGTTATGCCCTAATCCACTACAGTTATGTATGCTTGTTTATGTAGTTAAATAAAGTTGTGGCCTGTATTTTAACGATACCAAATGTATGCTGTGTCTGCTTCAACTATTTTTATTATACAGTAAGATAATACAAAAAGTGTGGGCAAGAAACCAGAAAATTTGCAGCCAAGTAAAACTGGCGTAATGTCAGAAATATTCCTGTTTATCATGGGTGCATAAAATTCCATAGAAATTCTAATTCAAAATCTAAATAAAGCAGACATTAACGCACCTCACTGTGCTTAAACATTAAGTGTCTGTGACTCATAACAATCCTAGCTTCCTAAAGATGTCTTGGCACAGCAGTACAGACTTTCTTGCTTAACTTGGAATTTCCTTGGTTCTGTGGATTTCAGATTAGCCTCTGAAAGTTAATGCCTGTTTGTTTTAAACTGGCTGAATCCTTGTCTTACTTTCAGGTTGTCTCTCCTACACCACGGTGTTACTTCTTGTTTAACATTTTTCTCTTCAAAAAAAGGCTCTCTTGTCAGTGGATCAGGCCTAGTCAGCTTGGGTTTAGAAAAGGCAGGTCCTACTTGACCAACTTGATCTCCTTTTATGTCCAGGAGACCTGCCTATTAGATAAGAGAAAGGCTGTGGATATAGTCTATCTGGGCTTCAGTAAAGCCTTTGATACTCCCACAGCATTCTCCTGGAGAATCTGGCTTGGACAGGTGCACTCTTCACTGGGTTAAAAACTGGCTGGTTGGCCAGACCCAGAGAGTGGTGGTGAATGGTGCCACATTCAGTTGGCAGCTGGTCACTAGTGGTGTTCCCCAGGGTTCTGTGTTGGACACAGTCCTGTTTGGTATCTTTACTGATGATCTGGATGAGGTGATTGAGTGCTCCCTCAGTAAGTTTGCAGACAGCACTAAGCTGGGTGGCAGCATCAGTCTGCTGGAGGGTAGGAAGGCTCTGCAGAGGGGCTTTGACAGGCTGGATCAACAGGCCAAGGCCAATGGTATGAGGTTCAGTAAGGCAAAATGCCCAGTCCTGCTCTTGGGTCACAACAACCGCAGGACGTGCTACAGTCTGGGAGAAGAGTGGCTAGAAAGCTGCCTGGCGGAAATAGACCTGGGGGTGCTGGTCAACATCTGTCTGCATGAGCCGGCAGCATGTCCAGGTGGTCCTCACTTCCAGAAAGACGGTGTGCTGTAATGTGTCCAGAGAAGGGCAATGAAGCTGGTGAAGAGTCTAGAGAGTAAGTCCTATGAGGAGTGGTTAAGCGAGCTGGGGGTGTTTAGCCTGGACAAAATGAGGTTCAGGGAAGATGTTATTGCCCTCTATGACTAACTGAAAAGAGGTTGTAGCCAGGTGGGGGGGGTCTGTCTTTTCTCCCAGGCAGCTAGCAACAGGACAGAAGGAAATGGTCTCAAGCCATGCCAGGGCAGGTTCAGGTTGGACTTTACTGAAAGGATGGTTAAGCCTTGGAACGAGCTGCCCAGGGGGGTGATGGAGGTTAAAAAAATGACTAGATGTGGCACCTAGTGCTATGGTTTAGTTGGCGTAGTGGTGTTCAGTCAAAGATTGGACATGATGATCTCAGAGGTCTTTTACAACCTGATTCTATGATTCTATGGTAATTCTTGATGCCACATAGGTAGGGAAAAGCAAAGATAAAAAGCAGCTGAATTGAGCCTTGATTGCTAGAACCAGAACACAGTTATAAAGATATTTCAGAGGCCAGCAAATATTTTTTAGTTCAAATTTAGGTTGTTAGACAGCAATGCAATACTAATTAAAAACCCATAAGAAACAAACAAAACCCACAACCCCAAAACAGGTGATCTATGCAACCTTGATATGTTGAATTAACAACACTCAGGGGAAAAAATCTGGGAGATATTATTATTTCTTGCTACACATTGTATAAATGACCATTGATATATATTTTCTAAGTAGCAGAAAGCAAACTACTTTCGTGGTGATTATGTATTCCATGTACCACTGTCATCTGGGAACTCTAGCCATGGATGAGCTGGAGTTCTAATCACAGTTCAATTATGGAACAAAATCGGGTCTTTCTTCCAAATGAATTTACAAATTGAATTATCTTATAGATAAGCATCTGTCACTGTGTGCTACTTTGATTTATCAGCTATTTAAATTTGTCACAGTTATGTTTATGTTTTCCTAATTACAAATATTGCACAACAAAAATGAATGACAAACATTTAAATTTTTCAGTTTCACATATTATCAAGAATTTGTTTTGAAATGTGGTGCCAGATCAGGCAGTAACTATTCCTTCCATATTGTTTCCATAACATTTCTTGTGTTTGTCCAACTTAACTTCTATATTTGGAGTCAGCCAAGCAATGTGCATTAAATTACCTCCCTGGTTACTAGATTGCCAGCACAGATCATCATCTAATAAGCCACATTTAAATGAGTATGCCAGGATCCTGGAAGATATTTGTATGATTTTGAACTATTGGACTCTTTCACAGTTCTCTGTGTGAAATCTAAAACATTTGATTGCTTGTCATCAAAGCATACATGCAGTTCATTTCCCTAGCTGACTCAGAGACTGAAAATCACTAGTATTATGAGGTAATCTATGTAATATTGTCTACATTTGGGACTAGATAAAGAAAAGGACTCATTTTTAATAACAGAAGAGCTGTAGGCAATGGTTGAGGTGATCCAGGTACAAATTCAAGTAGTCTGGCACTGTGTTAAATCCCTGTAGATTATTTAAGTTATTTTGCAAAGATTAAAAGATAAATCTTCTGATAGAAATCTCTTAGAAGAGCAATTTCCATTATTTACCCCTCTTCCCAATTCACGGACCTTCTTTACTGCTGATATCCTTGTGCACAAACAGCTGTCTGAAAAGTCTAACTTGGCACTACTAGCTTCTTGTGACTTCACCCTTGGTATAGTTTAACTTTGGGCTGGCTGAGGTTTTTTTATAGAATTGGGTGGAAGGTTGGACTTAGGAAAGACGACACTTTAAACATATTTTGCAACACTATCAATAGACCCACCTAGGAAAAAAGTGTTATTTCGGGAACTATTTTAAGATAATAAAAAATATGTTGGAAATCCTCAACTGCATTTTGTCTTAAGAGATTTTAATTGGCTTTGTCTTCAGTCTTCTGTTGAAGAAAGACAGTGGTTTTTGTAACTAGCATAAAACCGGGGGAAGTTAGAAGTCTTTTTATCAACACTGTATGCTAGATGATGGAACAATTGTCATTATAAATAATTTTATTCTGTACATTTTTATCCATGTGTAGAACTTATATGTCCATGTATCTTACAGCTACAGAAAAGACGATAATAATTCTTCTATTATCTAAAATTTCAAAGAGAAGTTTTAAAATATAATCTATTACTATTTCAGGGTATTTTTATCACAAATCTTACTGTGATCCATTGTTCCAAACATTTGCTACTCTGAAGAACACTAGACTGCTATAAATGTATTCTTGAGTTGGAAAGCATGCCAAAGTAAGCCTGCTTTATACACCTATGCAAGACCTGGTAATCCAGTCTGTGAATACAGTGATCTCATTATCAGAATCATTCTAATAATCTACCTTTATAATTTATGGAGTTAGTCATTATTTATTTTGCTTCTTGGATTGTTTCATTGAATTTAGCTGGTAAAATTGAGTTAAAATTACTTTAAATATGGCATCCTGTAAATTAATCCAAAAGTTATTAGCATCCTACAACAAGATGAGAGAGGCTCTTCTAGGCAATTTGGGATAACAAAGTGTTAGGTATCACTGATTCTGCCTTGGGAAGAAGGCATGGCCTAAATTACTTCCCTCCCCACTTTCTACAATTCTTTTGTTAATTAAGTTAAGCTTCTTTGGGAGAGGTTAGCACCGTGAAGAACATTCTGTCAACCAAATGCTGCTGCAGTGTGGGCTGACCAAGAACACCATAACATTTTGACATGTTCTGTCAATGCAGTCTCTTAAAGTGCCACACCCCGTTAGGGATCTTCTCAGGGCTTATAAGACAAATTTACAGTATGTCTGTATCATCTTGCTTGTGTCAAGATGGTTTTCTCTGAGAAAGGGTTGAGCTCCTAAAATCCCTTTGTGTTCCATTAGTTTGTAGTTGAAACATGTATTGCAAATGTAGAGCTCTAGTCAAAACAAACTTCACAAATTATTATTATCATGTTAAAATTCCTAAGAAGTTGCCCAACGACTTAGCAGGTCATTCTGATCCTTTATTTCCTGAAATAAGAAAACAAGCAAACAAACAAAGCTACTTTGCTGCGGTATTAACTCTCTCAATAAACACCAATGAGGTCATGTATCAAGCTCAAAATGGAGCACCCAACATAACTAGTCATTTAAATTTATTCTGTCTGAATGACCTTTGAGTCTTTCCATATCCTTTGTTTTCCTGCCCTGTCTATTCTGGCAGTGTTTCACATATTCGTTTTTGCTACACTTGCAGTCTTTGTGAAAATTTAGATCCTTCCCTTGCCATATCCACCTTCTTGATAAGCGCTGTTGCTTTCTTTTCTCCTCATTATTGATTTCTGCATTTTTCAGACAGTTTGTAGTCACATTTTTAGACAAACTTCTTCTGCTTCATTGCTTCTCAGATATTCCTGAGAGTGGATATATCTACCTGGGCTATTGTCTTCTTTTAACCATGTCAAGCATATCTCTTTTATTTTTCCATTGGCTTTCTGTTACTCAGGCTATCACACTCAGTGGCATACCTACAAAACCCTATATACTTTCACTCATCATTGTATATCTGCTTTTGTCTCTACATTCTTTTCAGTCCCCCCCCCCTTTTTTTTTAATAACTGGCTGGATTATTCTGTACTCTGCCTAGAATATTCACATTCCTTCTAACACACTGATTCCCTTAAACTCCCTTTTTCCTCCTATGCCTAACAAACAATTCTTCCTTCACATCAGAAATAACACATGAAAATCACCTCTCCTGACTCGTGCCAGCTTTTGTTAATTAAAGGGGTTTTTTTCCAGCATAGGAGCACGTTTTACCTATATACAATTCTGTGCTCATCATTGCTTCTTTGCAAAGTTTTCGAAGAAACAGTTAAGAAAGTAATAAAGATTTCATACTTTGGCACGTGGATGAATCTATAGACTTCTGGGCAATTTTTTATTTCAATTAGGATGAGACATGGAGGAAGATTAACTTATTAACTACAAATATAGCCTCAAAAAATAAACTGCCTCCTGCTAATATATTTTAGGTGTAAATGTCTTGATTTAGACTGCTGAAGCTTTTAGAAATAATACTTGGCATGATGTATCCTGTTAATATTTCTGCTTTAATTTCAAGCTTTAAACCCAGATTTTTTAAAAATACTTTTTGCAAATGTATGCTTTAGAATTTATTTTTAATTTGGAGATGAGCTGGTTAAAAGATCAACAGCATTGAAATTCTGCAAAATAGTGACTTTCTCAGTTGCATGTGTATTTATATTGCTTTATTTTAGAAAGTCTAATCCTTTGTGAATATTAAACCTACTTTTAAAAGTATTTTCATTTATTAAGTGGCTAAAAGGTGAAAAACTGCTTTAAGGAATGAATGAGCCAGGTCTGACCTTTGATTTTAACTTGTTCTTGTCATCTAGACCCAGCTGTGTGCCTGGCGTTGTTCAAAAACAATGAAAATAAACATCTCCATGTGAAACCACCAAGGAAGACACAGCCTATAAATGCTGGATACTTTGAAGGTATAAACAAGTATTTCACTTTATCTCTATTCATATAAGCATATATATCTTGCAATATGTTTTAAGCAAGCCTACTTGAAATGCAAAACTATATGCACAAATAGAAGAAGGCAGAAGCTTAAGGTCCTTATCTCTTCCTGGATATCTCAAGTTACAGCAGTAAAACATTTCAATTTCAATTCATTGTGGAAGGTACTCCTAGAGATTAATTCATAGTGAGCTGGAGCCTGACTTATTTATTTATTGTTTTTATTATTAAATCTTTATCATAAAAAACATCAAAGCATGTCACAGAGGTATAAAATACAAAACACTAGAATAAAATAAGTTAAATATCACTTCACATCTTCTTTTCCACGTCGCCTTTTCTCAAGCTAGCCATCAATTCCTGACAATCCTTAACATGTTTTTAGGAAGCTACTTTCACAAATGTTCCTTTAAAACCCACCACTTGGCAGAAGATAATTAAAGAATCTTCAGCATGTAAATATAAAATTGATTTTCAAAAAATATTTAAATACTGATTTAGCTCTTCTACTGTTGAAATTCGAGTTTTAACTCTTTATGGTTTCCATGCAATTAGAATAAGGACAAGTCAGTTTAAAATGCCTCTGTTGTGAGAAGATGAGCATTTCCAGAGACATTTTTTTAATACCGTTTTGATTCTTTTTGCAACTCAATAGTGTGCTGAGAAAGTTCTCACCTCCATTTGTATCCTTTTCGAAGATATAGTCACATGCTATGTCTTAGTAAAACTAAATATTATACTGTATTAAGATTCACTGTATGAGGACAGGAATTAGAACATGCCTGAGACAAGTGTGAAATCAATCTGAGTATACCTGAATTGCAATTCAGTTAATTAACCCAGCTGTATGAAAGCCCATATTGCCTCACATTCATGAGACTGTGCTCAAATTTGTTTGGAAACAATTCTTGGTGAATTCTGAAGAGGAAAGCTTTTTGCACTTTTATTTGCCTTGGATCCAAGCATGAATTTACCTTGACTATAGAGAGTCTGTATATACTATGCCTGGTTGAGCATTCCCAGTGTTGCACATCTGTTTCTGTTGCATATGCTTATATATGTCAGAAGGCACCATATGCTGAAGACACAGGACGTTCAGACTGCCTTTCAAACAGTGGATGTCCAAGACTACAAACAGCAGTGTGAAAGTTCAAAACCATGTCAGAGAAAAGCTTGATTACAGGTTCAGTACCCTAAAGTCAGTGTAGCTTTCCTGCCACCAGTTTATCCGTTCCTGCCTGGAGACATTTCCCACTTGAAAAGCCAATGCATGAATTCTAAGTATTACTGAAATTGCTCTTTGAATTTACGGAGAGAAGGTATGGAGGCAGATTCGATATCAAAAGGCAAGTACGGTAGCGGTGCTCTTATCTTTTCATTTCAAGGACCATTGTACTTCTTTGGCCATCTAATAAACAGAGATTTATTTTTTTTTCACCAGTCATGGGTCCTCATGTGCAATCTGCTGAGCCTTCAAGAAAGACAATCAATACCATTCTACTTGACCAGAATATAAAATTGTCCTTTTACCAGACACATTGCCACTTCAGATGATAGAAAATACTAGGCTGTGAATTAGATGCAGAGTGCAATGCAGAACATTTTTTTATATTTATGTGAGATACCATCAGACAGAACTAAGAGTTTCTAAATTTTGAATAGGGTGTCACTTTGCATGCTATCTACTGCAAAGCAAAGCACTGCATGATAATTTCACAGACTTTTGTTATCCGTCATTTCTTCCCTCACACAGAAAATCTTGTTTCCCATTTCCCCTCTCTCACCCTTTGAGCAGTTCTTCCTCTTTTGCATGGAATAGATTTCTTAGGGTCTGTTCTGCGATGGGAGTTCTTTCTGTAACAGGAAGGTGCAATGTTTTCACTCTGTATCCATAAACCTTGAGGACACCGTATTTTAAGTCAAGAGACAACACAGACCTGTCCTTTGCATGATGGAAATAAACTTACCCCATTCAAGTCCTTTTACCTTCACAGACAGGTTGTGAGTACTTGGCTAGAAAATTTTATTCCACTCCATCTTCATAAGCAACTAAATAAAAGGGGGAAAAAGCACATTCTATATATTCCTTCTTTATTTTTTCAAGTTGAGAAATGGGAGGGAGAAGCCATAGCATCAACAGCAAAACAGCAAGTACACATGTGTTATCTGTTATATAACAGAATCACTACTTTTGAAAGGGGATGCCCTAGGAAGTGAAACAATTAGAACAGTTTTAGATTTTCAGACTGGAACACATCATGGTAATGAATATTTTAAAAGTAATCTAGTTTAAGTGTACAATGAATGTGTTTTGTCTTCATTGTGTCTTTAGTTTGTGTGTAAAAGTACAAACGATAAAAAGGAATAAAGAGATATGAGTTATAAGACTGAAATCTAAACAGGAATGAACTTAATATCTGATGTTTGTGTGTTCCTGAGATTATTATTCTGTCATAATTTTCCTTTCTATTTTCCTGTTACAAATGTTGCGATAATCTGATATGCAAAATGTTAATAACCAATTTTGAAAACTTGTGGATAATTTTAATCCCATAGGACAATTCGCATGTCTCTAATTTGACATACACATTGTAGGAAAATGCATTTTCAAACTTGAGTGGCATCATAAATTTTTATTACCTTTTGGAAGAGTCATCATTCTTTACTCACCGATGTTATAAAAATCCTCACAAGGGACCATTATTTCACATTTTTATCACAATAACACCCAGAAGTTAGGCAGAGACAAACCCTTTTGTATTATACACTTCATCAATAGCGTCAGGAAACATTGTTCTGACGGGCAAGAACTCTAGTGGTGTGTTAGTGTATACGTATATATGTATGTGTATGTGTCGATACATAGACACACAATTCATGCTTCTGTACTCACACAAATATATAAGCATATACCATAAGTAGGTATAATAATCCAATAAGCATAGAGCTATGCCTTTTTTTAGTTGTGTATTTTGAAAGGAAACTAAATTATGAACAATTACTCTCTGGTGTAATAACTAATATCAACATATTTTGTAATCCTAGCATTTTCTGTCAGATGTTGTTTCAGTTTCTTTAAAATTAATCCACATGGTCATTGTATAATACAGATTCATTAAAATTGTTATTTTAATAAATAATATGTTTGAATCATAGCTCTATATTGTGACGTTAGCTTCAGTAGGTTGTAAAGTAAGCCAAAGAATATGCAAGTGTAAATATGTATTTACTGTTTCTCATGACAAATTATACCCTGATCAAAAACCTGAAGACAGATGAAAGCCTGACTTGGTGTACTTTCACTTCTGGATGTTTTCTGGGATTATGTATATTACACTGCTTGCTTTGGTGTGATAGGGTTATGCTTCCAGCACAGTTGTCAAGTTTCACTTAGTGTTAGGTAGCTGACAAACAAAATATGCCTGCTTTGATGACTATTCTGTTTTAATGAAAGTTCTTGGAGATTTTTTTGTGGGTTGTAGATGGTGATATTTCAAATACCTCAAAATTCTTGAGACTTATAAGGAACACAGATAATTGCCATAATTTCCTGTTTTGCATCAAAGCATATTTTTTAGAAAGCTTCGTGACTGCTTCTTCTCTTGTTGTCTGGAGGTTATTTCAGTTATTAATTTAACATGTAATATTCTTGACTATTTTGGATAAAGTAGATCAGGAATTGAAGGATAAATCTATCCTTGACTCCTTCTCTTGGGAAGTTCCAATTAGTCCTGGCTGAACATGTAACACAGCGTCTCTGCCATCTCTGGGTCTGTAATTACAGGATCTATAATTTCATTTAAACAGAGTAAGGATACTCACTTTTCCAACCAACAGTGTGAATGCTTAGTCCCAATGCAGCAGCTCAAAACTATACAAGGAGCCCCAAGGCCTAGCACATTGTTTTGGTATGAGCTTTAGGAACAGTATATGTCTTCTGGGGTCCTCTTTAATCCAGCTACCTCAACAGTTTTCCTGGGTTATCAAAATAATTTTTGTTCAGTGGAATGGGAAGCTGGATTCCAATCTGTAGAGAAAGTTGGAAGAATTCAGTAGATCACCTGAGAGTCTGATCAAACTATCCAAGTGTTATTTGGCTATGGTTCACTTCATTTCACAGAATTTCATAGACTGTGCTCTACTTAATTTTGTAGGTTAGGTGATTTATTGGCATATATAGTATATTTATTTTTAGTCAAATTCATATCCATCAGTGACACATCTATACAAAACACTTCATAGATGTGGAAACAGAACAATATGACTTCACCCAGTAATGTGTACAATGACCAGTGCCTGGAAGTTTAACTATATTAAAAATGCTTTGCACTGTGTTGTCGAGATATGTTTGTTGTAGTCGGGAACCTGTAGTTCTAATTAGCAGTACTGTGTTTCCTGCCATTTTATGCTCATTGGTAAGTAAAGAAAATGTAAAGGGTATAAAGGTAAGACAGATTTCTCTAACGCAAATTTAATAATGAACAGATTATGTTTTATCAGGTGGTTTATAATTATGGCAATACTTATTCATTTCTCTTTAAGTTGTCAGTAGAAATAACATTTTTTCAAGAATAAGAGGTAAAATAAGTTTGTGATTATGTCCTATGATTGGAAGATAAATGTCAAGGATTCCATTTAAAGTCATATGTTCTCCAGCTTTCTGATAGTTCATGATTATGAAATTCCTCATAGTCTCAAGTGAAAATGTGAAAAGTGAATGTGAGACTTTGGAAAGTGGCAATTTAAGGTTACATTTTAGTCAATTATCTGAGTTCATTAAAATATTGTCACATAATGAGCATAGTTTCTAGATTTTCTGTACTACGAACTGTGAATACATTGGAAAAAAGTATATGTGGTATATAATAGAATTTATATTGATTCAAATCACTGATGCTTTTAAATATCTGCATGACAGTTAAGATACAGAGATTGGAATGTTAATATTCATCATTCCATAGGCTTTAAATGT